ATATTTAATTAGCCAGAATATACCTAAGTACCCAACCGTCTAAAATACTTAGTGGGAGGAAAAAGGTATATGAGATACATCGTTTTCCTTTTACGCTCTCTGGAAAATTCATACCACGAAATTCAATTGTTGAGATAAAATAAAAAAAAATAAAATGTTGACTTCATTTAATAGAAAATCAATGTTTGAGTTAGTGGAATTTTGAAGTGTCAAAATTTGGTGTAACCAAACTTGCATGCTTCCCAAATAAACCCTACAAATTTGAGAGGAATTTTGAGTGTCAAAATTTGGTTAACTCAAACTTGGATGCTTGAGTGTCAAAATTTGGTAATCTCAAATTTGCATGAACATGCAAACATGACTCTATAAATAGAGTGATCAAGGTATATGGAACTTCTCCCTTGGAAAAACCTTGAGAAAAACTGTGTATCCACGGTCGATTCTTCCAACGTTCAATTTTCCAAAAAAACATGACTTAATGTATATATGTAGTGCATTCTCCCTATTACGCTTCTCTCTCCTCTTCAGCAGCTGTGTATCCACGGTCGATTCTTCCAACGTTCAATTTTTCAAGATTTCGATGAGCGACGCATCTCAATAATTTTTTTGGATTGCTTTTTATCTTCCAATCGTTAACTAGAAATGACTTGGTTTATTCACGAAAAATAAAGATCTCGAATCAATCAATTTGATGCCATTTTTTTTTTTTTAATTTTTAGGAAGACCGAGACCATATTAATTGAGTTCAAATTTTGGAAAAAATATATTTTCTTATGGAAATTACAAATCTCTCGAATCTAATTCTGAAACAAATCATGGTCGAGTTTCAACACGAAACTTGTAAGAATCTTTTCCTGGAACATCGTAGTCAAATTGAACTATCCTACAACCAAAACTGACACTCATCGATCCTCTTACTAGGACTAGAGATAAATCTTTTGCCAAATTTTTCATTAAAGTGTCCGATTCACGTCCTATTTACTTTCTTGTTTTTCCTCCTTCCACAAAAACCGAAATTCTACCTTCCTCTCTCTTCTTTGTTTTCTATACCGGTCAACCCAGACCCCTCAAATTATAAGGTAGAAAAAATTACCTTTTTGTCTAGTGGATTTTTATCTAAATTTTTCTTAATTTGATAAATATTGAATTTTTGCTCCAAAGGTTCCCTAAGGCTTCTCAAGCATTTTTTTTTTCCTTTCTTGAGATTCACCCTCTATGTCAATAATAAAATCCAAAAATTTCCAAATTTAAGGTATTAAAGTAAGAGTTATGTATCTGTTGCGGCTCGGGTGTTACTATTCAAATCCGTCAAGAATAAATGAAGTGTAGGCAAGCATTTCATTTTTTCTAATTTAGCTTCTTGAAATTAAGTTCGAAACTTTTAGTAGGTTCATATTGGGGGAATTTCACCCAAGATTCATACACGAAGCTAGAGTACATTACGATCTAAAGGCAGTATTTCATTGAATTTAAAGAAATGGTAAATTTCCTAAGTTTTAAATTCGGGACCGAATTTGCATTTTATTTTTCTTTTTGTGGCTAAAATAAACTTAAGAGAAAATACCTATGTGTACCCATAAGAAGTTACAAAATTTAGAAGAAATTTGATAGGTAATAGAAACCTCATCCTATTTGTAAAATAATGAATGTTGGCTAAAAGGGAGAAGGCACGCGTTGGACGACGTTGACCGTAGTGAGTCTAAAGCTCAGCAGGACAAGTGGCAAATGCTAAGCAGAGAGAATCGTTCAGCTACTAATGGTGACGTGCATGTAGATTAACTCGATCCCTGAACCTTGATTCGATCAAAAAGCTTGCGTGTGCAACTCGTTAGCCTTTGACCATAACAAAAAATGCAACCAGAAACCGATCCAATGACTCAATGAGTAACCGAGATCTACAAAAAATCCCCATGCGTGAAATTGCACGTGAAAACCCTTTCTCGACGTGTGTAAGTGCATGTGAGTGTCATTTTGTTCGTTCGACCTCCATTTGTCAGTTTTTTGTCTTGACTTCGATATTAACATAATTATGCTTGAATTAGGATCTACGAGAGAAATTCCATAAATTCTTGAGCTCCAAACACATGGAATAGCTGGCTCAAGAAGGTAAGCGTCATTCAAGTAAGTAACCACATAGACTTTAGGCAAGTAATACTTGTAAAGATCGCTAGGACATGATAGCATGCAACGAGCATTCCTTAACTTAGATGGTCAAAAATACATGTTAACGACCTCAGAAAAGCTTTATTTTTGTGAGTATGTATTGTATGTATGTCTTTTATGTATTATATGCTTGATTAAAATAAAAATTGAGCAATATGGATGAGTACATCATGCATGATGGAAGAAATTACCAAAATTCCCCTATGATAAAATTTCGTATGAATGTCGTTTTCTATGCTTTCCATTGCATAGGAAATTAGAATTGGTAAGAGCGACATGTGCTTCGCAAGCACTAGAAAATCGTGATAAGATTAGGACGAGATAGCGTGTGTAGAATCTTGATAAGGTCCATAGATTTCTAGTGGACTAAATATGATAAGAATAAAAAATGTTCGTCTCCTTAGCCACTTAAACGTATCAAAGTTAGGTGGAAAACTTTATTACTTTTAGTTTCATGTTGTTTGGAATTGTCAAATGGCCAAATTGACTTCGTCTTTGTTGGAGATTTAAGGGGATCAGGATTAAATCATGGTCACAAACGTCATTTATGCATTTATGGGGAGTATAAATACCAAGAAATTGTTATGTAAAAATCAAAATCGTGGATGGATTAAATTGAGATCTCAAATTTAGACGTTTCCTTAGAAATTGGAACATCATATTAGTCCTTTCTAAGTTTCAAGCAATTCTTGTGGTAGAATTGCATCCAAGCCATTCAATTAAGCCTTGATTAAGTTTGATTGCGGAGTGACTCGATTTAGAACAAGGTTACCAAATCATGCTTTTAGATCTTCGATTGTAAGAGGTAATCTAATTCTAGCCTTATCTCTTGGTTGATCTGAATTTTGTATAAGGAGGTGTTAATTACTTTGATTCAAGTGTTTTTGCTTCAACAAAAGCATGATTCGTTGGATTAAGGATTAGGGTTGCCTTATGAAAATACCATAGGATAGTGAGCGGTGATAAAAAATCTAGACTTGTGTTTACCCAAAGATGTGATTAGAGGCCCCTAATAAAATGGTACATCTCCACGACTTCAAAGAATGACCAAGGTAACTATCTAGGCTATGAGATGCGTGGATGATACGCTATCTTTAGACCCTCCAATCCCTTTCCACTACAATATTAGTACTATTGAGCTAAGCACATGCTAGTAGTTTGAGCTTCTGTTCCGTTGAATGGCCTGCAGCCTCTTGAATATAGTCACTATGTTGTTAACCTGTTCCTTAAAAAGGGAGTGTGGGATACCATGAGATAGCCTAATTGTTGGCTAGTGTAGAATTATCACATCCCAAAATATAGGTGATTCTCTGGCCATAAGGAAGAAACCAACCAACCTCTTTTCCAAGATGTTCATACTAGAAATCACCATAATGTCTGATTAGAATTTTATGAAGACGTGCCTCAATCTAGGTATTCGATCCCTCATTGCATAAGAAAAGAAGGTTTCCATGGTCAAAGAATAGAAAGATGGTACAAATTAAGCAAGAAAAGGTAGCATCTAGGCCGTTACTTCAACTTCCTTTTACACTTTGGTACAAGTACTGTCGACCCAGGCCTAGGCCAACCAGGATTGTGTGAACCATAGTTCATTTTGATTATCTTGCATAGTTGATCCGTCAAAAGAGGGGACGTAGGATTATGAGTGTAATCTTAATAGTTGACAAGCATAGGGGATCACTTCCCTAACCTTGGGTGACTAGATTGTCCTGTGGGTAGGGTTCGCCAACGAACCTCCCATGGATGATGAGAGCAGCCTAGCACTTACCATGCTATCCCAATTAAAATATATGCATATATCTTTGGTGCAATGCATATCTTTGTTCATTTCATACATTACATTACCATTTCTTATCATTACATAAAGTGTATGTAATCTATGCTACCATACTTTCATAATATGTCACATTCACAATAGCATAATAAGTAAACATGAAATTACAAAACGTAACATTTGTCATCATAACAACACGTCATAACATAATATGCAAATATAGAAATCACAAGGGACGACACAAGCAAGGGCCACGGGGAATCCGCCACTCGTGCTTCAAACAATTCATCAAACCAAAACAGTAGTGAAGAAACATACCAAGGTAGTTAAGTTGAAGTCCCTAAATTGTACTTGGAGCTAGTTCAAATTTTCCTTTTGAAATCCAAGTAAACCTATGCGAGTTCACGACACTTAATTAGCACAAATCGAGCAAAATGCAATACGAATGGAAATCAAGAATACTCCGAACAAAATAAAATAGAAAAATAAAAGAAAAATACAATAAGAAAAAGAAAGAAAAAGGAGAAATTGTAGAGCCAAACGGTTAATGGAAAAGAATAGAATAGAAAAGAAAAAAAAAGAAATAAATATGGTAAGAAAATTTAAGCCAAGATGTAGGAGCAATAATTGATTAAAAGAAAAAGAGGAAATTTGAAGAATTAAAATAAATACGATTAATTTTAAAAATACATAGGGGAAATTTAATAGAGAAAAAATTAAGAATTTGGTGAAAATTAAAAGACAAAACCGATGAAATGTCATGTCAAGAAACTCCATCAAATTCTTTCTAGTAATAATATCTTTCCTAAAACAATAATAATAGAAAATAACATATTTAATGAAAATGGAATTATATATATATATAACCCTCCAAGACTCCGCTCATAGAGTCTCTAATACTCACATGAAGTCTAACACATGGAGCGTTGTAAAATTTAGAGAATTGACATTGAACTTGATGTCATGGTTCTTATAGGTTGACTTGAATATAAAGGACAAAATCGAACTTTCTCAATGATAAATTGGTGACACCAGCCTAAGCTAATC